AGAGAGAAAGAGAGAGAGAGAGAGAGAGAGAGAGAAAGAGAGAGAAAAAGAGAGAGAGATCACCAAATTGCCCTCCTGTGATCAATAAGTGTAATTTATTTTTTATCTGTAGTGGATCTAGAGCACAGTGCAGTGCCTACTTTTCAACTAGCCATATAGTTATTCCCGGAAGTCTCGCCATCCAGCAGGGAGACAATGTGACAATGCGTCAGACCAAGGTCATGCTATGTCATTGAGTCGACTTGCATTAACAGCAAAGTGTGTCTATCTTTCTCCCTCCATCCCCGGCACACACGGTAAGACGTGCACATCGTAAAATGCTTACGCAATCAACTTACACCTACTCTGTGGTTCTGGTAGAAGCAATTTGCCATCAACATTGGCTGTTATTTTGTGTCATTTGTTTGTTTTTTTGTGCTTTCTTGTCCGTTTGTTGCTGTTGTTGGGGGGGAGGGGTATTTGTTGTTGTCTTTATTTTTTTCGATAATTGAACCCCTGTTAAAGCCGAGAAAGTCTATGACAATGCCGTTTATAAAAGAACTATTTTACTATACATTATGACAAGTCGGACTCGGTCATTTACATGCATTACAAGCCTGCTATAGACGAAATCCTGTTATAACCGAAACTGTTATATAAGTGGGGCCCACTGCATACGCCTTTAACTTCTTCTTCATTGAATAACTGGTGCCCTTTGGCAGGTTCGTTTCGGTTTGGTTTGGGGGGGGGGGGTGTCCTCTGCTACGCTTTCTTGGAACTTTTCCTGCAAATTCACATAAGTCCTTTTCTTGACTGTTTTTTTTCTGGGAGTTCCTTTACTACTAGACTGGAAAAAGACACAGCTATATTATTTTTTTTACAGTCGACCAATGCACTTTTCATCAAGAGCAGGAAGGGAGAGGGGTGTTTTCATTTTTTTTTTTACTTTTGGAGCGAAAGACTGGCAGGTGAGTTTGCCATCGCCATTAAAACATGCAGAGAAGTTACAAACATTAGCGACTGTGGATGAGAATGAGGTAAGTGTCCATATGGCGATCGCCACCGCTAATATCAAGACACGAGTTACAAAAATTGAAAACCACTTTCCAGGAATATATACCAACGCCGGAAAGTGTGTACCCAGGCGACAATTGGAAAGCAGCTTGCAATATATTTTTCACTTCTGTGAAACTACTGCCAACATGGTTTCGCTTGGTTGACTAGCGTATCTAGCAGGCCTATTACAAGACTGCATAAAATACGTCAAAACACGGAGCATCGACCATCCAAGTCTGCTCATAAAAACAACGACTTTATCATATCATCTTTCACCAGAATGTCAGTACAGTTTAAAATGGCTGTGAAGCTCAGCGAAAAAAACACACCTGGGACAATATCAATTATCAATTAGAATATTGATGTAACTGTAATAACTCATTACGTCAGCTGACAAACACTTTCGGTAAGGCGTAGGCTTATAGCAACCATAACTTATGTGCTCCTGGAACATCCAGATCAATGCTTAGATGTTACCTCACTTCACTCTTCTCTCTCGGATCTTACTTAAAGGAGGCTCAGTGCGTTCCAGCAATACCCGTTCATCCTGCCTGCTTCAGTCGATGTTCTGGCGTTCCAGGTACTAATGGAGATACTTTTCTTGTACGTGTGTGTGTGCGGTTATTGGCTAACCAGCCGCATACTTTCCACCTCCACCTTAATGGCGTCAGGGGCCTAGTGGTTAGGCTCTCGAACTCGCAACTGTAAGGACGTGGATTCGAATCCCGTGAGGGGTCCGACGTTATGTCCTTGGGAAAGGAGCTTTACACGAATGTTTCTCACTTCATTCACGTGGGAATGGATATCCGAATATGGACAGCGAAATATCTTGTCAATTTGTCAGTGTTTGAACGCTTAAATCCACAGCTTGCTCCGTGCCCAGAAGTCAAGAATGTTTCTATGTCGGGTTCTGGGGTCTGAAGGGATAATAATACAATCATATACATGTAGTTGTAAAGCGTATTGAGCATGCTATAGAGCATCGAAATGCATTTATTGTTATGAGTAGCGATGAGCACAGCCCTTATTTCCCTGAACGGAGACTGATTCGGTATGGAATGAGTATTGGGGTTTTTTCGTAGGAACACCTACGCCCTACATCGGGGAGTTATTTCGCCCAGTGGTGCAGTGCCGGTGTTTTCATCACTCCTTCAGGTGGTCTGGCCCGCCAGCTGAAGCGGTAGACCGGAGCATAACAAATGAAGCCACCATGCTGGCGTAACGAGTTAGTGAATTTGCAGTAATCAAGGGCACTTCCTCTTCTACCCAGAACCCGTTAAGCCCCGATCCGGAATTTTTTCATTTATAGCTGGGAATCTTGATAAGGCGCTAATTTTATGGCTGATTCTTGGGGGCTTCTTTTGTTTGTTTGTTGTTGGGTTTTTTAATGTATAGGCCTACACGAACGAAAACTGCTTGAACTTGTATGGATGCGCATGGTTTAGATAACTAGACTAATGTTGTGCTAATTTGCCCTGTGTTTTGATCGTACTCATCCACCCCTTCACTTCAATTCCACTCCCATCCCTATGCCCCACCCCACCACCAACACCTTTCTCTGTAGAGGTACAGAAATCCCACCATTTCCGGCATTAGTGCCATATATATAGAAAAAGCCTTCGGGCATCATGGATGAAGTAACTCTTTTTTAAAATTTCCTATAAACATAGATACAGCTCGCGTACTCTAGCCTTTACCTAGAAAGATGCATATTATGTTGCAGAGTTTACTTTTTCCGTTGTGCATAACCTCCAAAATTTAGCAGTCGGTGGATGGGGAAGGGGGCTTGATGTAATTCATGGTAAAGACAATATGCCACATTGTGCATAAAAGGCCAAAGTGTTTCATCTTAAATCCCCCTAAATCTGGAATTCTTTATCATATGGGTAGACCTATAGATAGATAGAAAGACAGACAGACATACAGACAGACAGACAGACAGACAGACAGACAGACAGACGGACAGACAAACAGACGGACGGACGGACGGACGGACGGACGGACGAACAGGCGGACGGACGGACGGGCGAACAGGCGGACGGACGGACAGACAGATAGATCGATAGATCGATAGATCGATAGATCGATTGATAGATAGATATATAGATATAGATAGATAGATAGATAGTTAGATAGACAGATAGATAGATAACTTCTACAATTAACTATAAAAACTATAGTTACAGTTACTGGTCAACATGCTATAAGCATACGTATGTATAAAAGTTAATATAAGTAACATCGTGTAGCTTTCTGTGTTGCCCTGGGTTTTCAAACACCCTCGGTTGCACCTCCACAAAATACAACAGCGAATTTGTTGTTTCTTAATTCCCCTATCTCTTTGTGTTTCAGGTTTGGTATAAAAATAAGACAGAGAAAAAACAAAGCTATTTGATTAAACTGACTGACCCGTTCCACTCGAGACCTTTGAACTGCAAGGAGAGAAAATCCTAAAGGCCATGGGAGTTTCCACCATATTGTTTAGTGGTTTACTTCTTACTGTTTTCACCCTGTTTGTTGTCGGTGAGTATGTTTGTAAGTGTGTTTGTGTATGTGTGTGTGTCTGTGTGTGTGTTTGTGTATGGATGTGTACGTGTGTGCATGTGCGTGTGTGTGTCAATGTGTGTGTGCATTTGTGTGTACGTGTGTTTACTTGTTTGCTTTCATACATGACTCATTCCCTTGTACCATTTTCAACTGCATTTTTGTCATCAACCAAATGTCAAGCTATCACATAGCAATTATATGCACACACATAATATGTTGTAGGTTTAACTCAGCATCAGGAAATCCGAGCCATCGGCATGCTCTGCCGTTTCTGTTGCCAGGACATTAAATGTCAGTTTTCCTGTTGACGTTGAAAGTTCTGACAACAGCAGAAGCGCATGCAGCATGCCGTTGGAAGATTTCTATGTTTAGTTGTGCCTTTTTTTTTTTTTTTTTTGGATGTTGTACATGGTGACGTGAACACTAAGTGTTGTACCAAAATTTTCATATCATGACCTACTTTTACGACGATCATATTA